CATCCAACGCTGTTTTGTTCTCATCTGTGAGCATGCTCTTGATATATGTATTTTAGGTGTGTAAATGTATAATTGCCGTTTAATTATTTTTTCAATTTTATTTAAATGTGTAGTTAAAACAACTAAAAATAAATGTATTTCAAAGTTTAGAATTAGACAGCCTTTGCACACAGGCTTACGCTGAAAACAACAAAATGGAACCTCAAGGTTGATCTAGGAAAATGTATAGGGCCCCATTCCTATATTTTGCCTGGGGCCCCCAATTCACTAAATCCGCCCCTGTTCCCCAACAGAAAAGAGGACCCGAGTGCCCCCCGCCACTATGTAGGTGTGTGAATCACATGGAATTATTGTGAATTTTAGATTCTGGATTAAAACTGCCGAGAGAGACCATCAGAAGGGAGTACTGCAGACAGAGGCTGGCTAATTTTTAATTTTGACAAGCATAAGCTTCACACACTCAAGGCTGAGGGTTTTCTCTGTCTACCCAACTCAGTTCAAGAGGCACAAAGCTTCATTTGACAACTAGTATCCACAGAATGTTCAGTAAAACAAAGTTCAACTGCATTCGGTTCAGTTTAATATGCAGTTTACACCGTTTTTGAGACACTGTTCTTTTTATGACAAACAGCAGCCATCAAATCACTTTTACATAATTCCCTTACCAGATATATGGTATAGTCAACCTAAAATAAAAAACTAAATAAGTACACTTAATTGTACTGAAAGTGTACTTTTATAGTGTACAGTAATTCAAATCTAAAGTATATAAAAAAACTGAATTTGCAGAAAATATAATATGAATTAAATAGAAGGACAGCACATTCAACAGCACATTCAGCTGTACACTTTGGGCATATTTCAAAGACTAGAGAAATAATTTTGAAATTACATAAAAATATATACTTAAGTCCTACTGAAGTGGGTCAAAAAAGGTCAACTAATTGCATTTAATATAAATTTAAACTAATACATTTTTATTTAATTGTTATTAACATTTATGTAACATTTAACAAACATTAATTTCACACTTGTATCTATGTAAAATGTACTTCTTTTTCACAAGGGAAATTTTATGACTGTTTAAAACAGCATGCAGCAAACTTGTATTATTTCTACATAATTGTATTTGTACAGTTTGCTATGAGGGGCCGTACAAGCCATAATTCATTCTAGCACTCTCACACACTTACATTCTCCTTTCACATACTGGCCCCTCATAGTTTGCAACATGTATTGTGCACAGTTTGCAGGATATTTTTTTTTGCATGGAAGTCCATGGTGGGTCCTATTTCACATACTTTTGCACTATTGTATACCATTTGCATTATTGTACAGTACTTCATTATTGTACTTTCTTCAATGGGGGGAAAAGTGTGAAATGCTGGACAGCAGCTTTTCCTAAGTAGTGTAGCTGAAAGCTAACAGCAAAACATGAGGTGCATTTGAAACATGTTTTCCTACCGATGGAAAAGGGCAAATGATTTTGTGTAATAAAACATTAAGTTCTCCATTTGGTACGACACTATCCTCTAAAATTAATAAACTCTAAGTACATAGTGTGTAACCCACAATACAATGCACTCTACTTGACCTTCCATTTCCAATGTGATGAATGAAAGCAATACTAACTGAGAATGTAACATTTTTTTTGGCTCATTATTTTTTAAAACAAAATTGGATTAAAATGCAAAACTCTCCCAGATGATAATTGGTGCCAATCACTAAACATACGACATAATGAGATCATGTTACAACAATGTAACATACAAATGCCAAGTACTATTTGAAATGTTTATTATTGTATAATGTATACTGTTTTACACACTATTTTACACTCTTTTTTCAACAACAACAAAAAGTATGTACAATGCTAAACATGATTTTAATAGCCTTATGTTGTTGTTTGTTTGTTTGTTTTAGGTGAGGACTTTTATGAGCCATCTCCTTATGAGCCCATGACGCCTCACCGACATTCAGATGCATTTCGCCTGGCGTCAATCATCTCAGGTAAACATTAATATTTTCATTACAATTTATTTTTGTATTATATATATATACATTATTGCGATGCACTGCTCTGTTTGTTGTTGATATTGGCTTCTTTTTCATTGTCATCCCTTATGAAACTAAGAAAATCCATCACTAAATGAATTCGCTTGGGTCTTAAGTCGCTTGGGTATGTTTTTAGCAATAGCCAAAAAAAACATTGTATGGGTCAAAATTATAAATTTTTCTTTTATGCCAAAAATCATTAGGGTATTAAGTAAAGATCATGTTCCATGAAGATATTTTGTAAATTTCCTACCGTAAATATATAAAAACTTAATTTTTGATTAGTAATATGAATTCCTAAGAACTTCATTTGGACAACTTTAAAGGCGATTTTCTCAGTATTTAGATTTTTTTTTTTTGCACCCTCAGATTCCAGATTTTCAAATCGTTGTATCTCAGCCAAATATTGTCCTATCCTGACAAACGAAGATAATGAAGATAAATTAGTCTTTTTCCTTTCTAGGAAAAAGAAACAGGAGCAAGTGATTATTCCAGTTAAATAAAAACCACTCTAGGCATTTTTCACCTTGGCATGAGTTACGTTTAATGTTTAATTCACTGACAGCAGTCATTACAGACAGTAGAGTGCAGAAATATCACCTCCAATACATTATCAGAGCCTCACAGAGCCTGGAACAACCAGAATAACTCATTTTTTATTCAGAATGG